GGCTCAAGACCATGGCCTCGGATTTGGAGGCACATAAATAAAAAAAAAGTTTCGTTTTGAAAAAAAAAAAAACCAAAAAAACAAAGGAACTAACAGAAACAAGAGAATTTGAATGCATCATGTGAAAGATTTTTTGCTGCAGAGCATTAAAAGTTTAAACTAGCTTAAAATGGCTTTAAAAGTAGCTGGAATAATCATAAAGAAACAGTATGAGCACATATGTGCTGAATTATTATCACAAAAATGAGGAATTTATCTGGGAAAAGCTAAAATTAGCTCAAATGTAACTAAAAACTCAAAAACAGCTGGAATTAGCAAAAAAACTGAAAAAGCAAAAAAACTGGAAATAAGCACAAAAAGTTTAAATTATCAGAAGAATATGTCAGAATAATAGCTAAAAAGGCATAAAAAAAGCAAAAGCCAACAAAACAGAAGCAGAAGGAAGCTRAACTTAGCTCAAAAAAAGTTGAAAAAAGAGGAACCAGAACAAAAGGTAAAGATTCTTAAACATGTTGAAGGGTTTTAGGACAGCTCCATTAAGTTTCTTTAAGAAAATTGTGGCCAAAAAAACTAAATTTGTCAAAAGGTAAAATGTCGAAATACTAAAACTCATTTTAAACATTTTATATCCAAACCACATAACAGAAAGAAATTGTTATGAACGATTACATGACATTTCCACAGTTTTTTTTTTAAATTATGCAATCTGACGTGATTTCTCACAAAGAAGAACAAAAATAACACGAGACGCCTGCCGATGCATGAACCTACCGGAAAACTGAGCTGTTCTGACAGCTCGATAAGTTCTTCGTAAGTGGTTTGAGGGTGTGACCGTGTTGAGTGACACCCTAGATATCGTAAAAAAACACTTCTGAGAAACACTGCTGGAATCAGCAGCCCCTCCCGACTCGTAACTCTGCGGTGCTCTGTAAAAACGAGCTGTCAGAGTGGAACATGTACAAAGTTCAGCCAGATGTTATCCTGTTTGGGGGGGGCTGCCACTTAATCCAGCCTCCAGGTTTTCACTCTACTGATGAAAACATAGTCATGACATAGTCAAAATATCAAACATTATAAAATACATTATATTTGCAGATGATACAAGTATCTTCTGTACTGGAGAAAATATTCAACAACTTTCAGAAGTGGTTAATACAGAATTAGAAAAATTACAGCATTGGCTCAAAAACAATAAATTATCTGTAAATTTAGATAAAACAAAATTCATGAT